TTTTTAATGTAAAAATTAGAAATATGAAATAAAAGTGTCTAATTTAATGATGTAAAATAATTAATATTATTTTATTGTTGAAAAATATTTTACTCTTTTTATGTTTATTATTTATATGTATAATTTCATCATGATGTTTATTATATAATCAATCATATGTGTTATGTTATTATAACATATAATAAGTGATAAAATATAAATGAAAATGATATGAATATATGATATAGAATATAGAAAAAAACAAAAGAATAATAAGAATAAATGATAAATAAATACAGAAATGATAATCAATGATATAATAATAAAATCAAAGTATAAAAGATAAAATTAATATTAATATAAAACAAAAGAGAATAAATATAAATTGAAAATAGATATAAATGATAATAATATAAAAATGATAAAGATGAATAAACAAATACATCTAAATATAAAAGAATAACAAGAAGAAAATCTAAATAATATAAACATAAAAATAATAAAACAAGAATAATATAATAATATATAGATAATAAGAATAACACAATGATATAAATAATATAAACAGAGAAATAAATATATAAAAATAAATATATAAAAATACGATAGATAAATAACATATAAAGAAAAGAATAAAAATAATAAAAATAAATATGATTCATCAAATCATTTATTTCATTAATATTTCATACAAAATAGAAATGAATATAAAATATAAACATAAATATTTATATATTCTGTATTTATCATATTTTTTATTTTTTTATTTTTTTTAGGAGCAAAATATAATAAATGGAATATTCTATGGATGCAAATTTTTTTGCATCTTTTTTCTTTTTTGTAAATTATTTGGATTCATTTTTTCTTTGCTAATTTTCGTGCCAAATATAACAAACACATAAGTACATAAATCAATAAATGCAAAATAATATGAGAAAAATTAATAAATATAAAGATGAAATAAATAGAAATTAAATAAATTTGATAAGTAATGTGCGATTTATTCATAAATTAACAATAAAAATGAAAGAAATAGAAAATAATAATATATAACGATAAGAAAGACAATATAAAACAGAAAATGAAATTTAACATGTATTAATTATATAATGAAGATAATATTGAAGATGTAAAACCACAACAAACACAAAAATTAAATAATATGAAGATGGAAAAATAACAGTAATATTAACAGAATAACAACTCTAAAGAATGAAAACAAATATACAAAATAAATATCATTACTTAAAAATATTTATTATTAGAATTGGTTTATAATTAAATATTTTTGTTCTATTTTCAAAAATATGCAACAAAAAGTTAAATAATAAATTAATCTAATTCAATTATGAACTTCAATTCTCTTTGTAATAACAATCTTATATTAAACAAAAAGTAGTTATAAAATATTGAAAACACTTCTTTCTTCTGTTAATATATTTATTTGAAGAATATATTATTTAAACATTATGTTAATAATATTCATTTTTATTTAATTTTACTTCCATTTTATTTGATTTTAGATCATTTGTAATTAACATAAAATATATTCTATCAACATGAATAATTAATATAGTAATTAAATGATTAATCTTTTATTTGTTTTCATTATTTATTTTATTTATTGATAAACAACAAAAATCAAATAATTTTACATTAACACAATGCAGAATATGTTGTTTAATGTAACATTAATTTTTATTTCAATTTTAATTTTTCTTTTCAATTTATTTCAACTTTTAATTAATTATTTTATTCATTTCTTCATTCATATTATCCATGATATTTTTAATGTTTCATGTTTAACATTTAACATTTTTCTGTATTATTTAATTATATTCAAAGTACATTTCTTGACTTTAAGTGTTTAAATTAAATATTCATTTTTAATTATTATATTTTTTACATTAATTTTGTATATATTATCTAAAACAATTTCTATATTTGTATATGACATTGTTTATTTATTTTTGTAATGATAGTATATTTCTTTATATTTCTTTAATCAAATGTACGAATAATAAGAATAACATGATTAATGTTAAATACTTATCATATACCGTTTTTATTATTCTATTTCCTTGTTTTTGTTTTAATTATTTAGTATTCATTTTTATCAATCAACAAAACAATGAAATTTCTACTTGAATATTCACCACATTATTGTTCTTTTATTCAATTTATTTGTCTTCTAAATCTCAAAAATGAAGTAGAACGATATTTTGTGTTTTTATATAAATTCATTAAATACGACTGTTATTTGACTAATTATACTTTTAGTATTATTTGAGTCTTTCCATTCATTTTCTTATCTCTTGGTTATTTTTCTTATTTCTCATATCATTTGTTAAGTGTGATTAAAATGTCGTTAAGTAATTATTACTGTTCATTATGTAATGTTTATTTGGTATTGTATTTTTAGAGAATTAATATAAATGTTATTTAAATGAAAAGAAAGAATAATGTTATAAATAACAAAAGAACACGTGGAAATGATAAAGCAATGAGTAAATGAGTAGTAGAAAGAATGAAAGATTGGCACAAACAATGAACCACGTAAACATGATAGAAATGGAGAGAATGATATATAAAGGAAGTCTGAAGTAAAGAAGTCATTAAATGAGTAAATATACAGGATTAGGTATTGGAATAGATTTAGGTACAACATATTCATGTGTTGGTATTTGGCAAAATGATCGAGTAGAAATTATAGCAAATGACCAAGGAAATAGAACGACACCATCATATGTTGCATTTACTGATACAGAAAGACTTATTGGGGATGCAGCAAAGAACCAAATTGCAATGAATGTTAAAAATACGGTATTTGATGCAAAACGAATGATAGGAAGAAGGTTTAGCGATCCAACTATTCAAAATGATATGAAACATTGGTCATTTGAAGTAGTTGATGATGGACATGATAAACCACTAATTGAAGTAGAATATAAAGGAGAAGTTAAAAGATTTACACCAGAAGAAATTTCATCAATGGTATTAAGTAAAATGAAAGAAAAGACAGAAACATTTGTTGGAAAAGAAATAAAGAATGCAGTTATTACATGTCCAGCATATTTCAATGATTCTCAAAGACAAGCTACTAAAGATGCAGGAACAATTGCAGGAATGAATGTGATGAGAATTATTAATGAACCTACGGCAGCAGCTATTGCATATGGACTTGATAAAAAAAGTTCAGGAGAGAAGAAAGTATTGATATTTGATCTTGGAGGAGGAACATTTGATGTATCAGTTCTTGCAATTGAAGAAGGAGTGTTTGAAGTTAAAGCAACTAATGGAGATACACATCTTGGAGGAGAAGATTTTGATAATCGACTTGTTAAATATTTTATTGGTGAAATTGAAAGAACATATAAGAAAGATATTAGTGGGAATGCACGAGCTGTTAGAAGATTAAGAACAGCATGTGAAAGAGCAAAAAGAACATTATCAAGTGCAAGTGTTGCTAATATTGAAGTTGATCAATTATATGAAGGAATTGATTTTTATACATCTATTACACGAGCTAGATTTGAAGAAATCAACATTGATTTATTTAAATCAACTATTGGACCAGTTTCAAGAGTATTAGAAGATGCTAAAATAGATAAAAGTAGTATTGATGAAGTAGTATTGATAGGAGGAAGTACAAGAATTCCAAAAGTCGTTGAGATATTAAAAGAATTTTTCAATGGGAAAGAACCAAATAAAAGTATTAATCCAGATGAAGCAGTTGCGTATGGAGCAGCAGTACAAGCAGCTATATTAACAGGAACCGGAGGGAAAGCAACAGAAGATGTGTTATTACTTGATGTTGCACCACTTACACTTGGAATAGAAACAGCAGGAGGAGTTATGACAGCATTAATTGCAAGAAATTCAACAATTCCAGCAAAGAAATCCGAAATATTTTCTACATATGCAGATAATCAAGCAGAAGTATTAATTCAAGTATTTGAAGGAGAAGCATCAATGACAAAACATTGTAATTTACTTGGAAGATTTGAGTTAACAGGAATAGCA